TACCATACAAAAGACTCTCAGGGTGCTATCTCATGATCAACTGCAAGATCTGCTAGATCAAGTATACTATTGGCTATTTAGGGCGCCATAGCCCATTGGATCATAGCGTGGAGTGGGCGTCCTTATCCTCCCACAACGCCCTTATCCCCTACGTCACTCCCCATCATTCTCCATCTCGATCCCGTCTCCTAGCATGGCGGCAGCCGCCTTTTCATGGCGACTACCTCTTCTTCTCCCTACCACGGAGTTAGCGGAACGGCAGTGGCCGCCTATTCCTCTCCTCGGCACCACGCTGTAGCAGTGCCTCTTCCTCTCCCTGGCGCCACGGTGGTGACCTCTTCCTTTCCTCTGTGCGGCGGCCACCGGATCCGGCTACCACGAGCTCGGGGGTGACCAGATCCAGCCACCATGAGCCTCTTCCTCTTTCCCGCGCGGCGGCGACAGCCTCTTTCTTTCCCCTACCAGACGCGGCAGCCACAAGATCCAGCCAACACGACAGTGAGCGTAGGTTACTCCAACGCGGAGAGTGGGGCACTTCTAATTGGAGTGCCAAAATTTGTGAGTGGATTTTTATGACTTGTGTTGTGTGATTTGTGCGGGGGATGTTGTTGTTTGATGGATCGATAGTGATTTGTGTTGTGTTATTTGGGGGATATTGTTGGATTGATTGATTGTGGTATGTGGATGTAGGATGGTCTAGGTGTGATAGGGAGTGGCTCGATGCATCAGCTCAGAATCGAGCCAACTTTTTTTTATACTAGAAAAAATGCGAAAAAATGCTTGTGTGTTGCAACGGGTGAAGACTATTTTGATTTTATTATTGTTATATGGTTTCGTTAAGGTAAAAATCATGAGCTATAATTAGGAGTATGATCATCTCAAGTTAGTATTCGAGTTTTTTTTAAAAAAATATTTCTTATACGACTCCTTCTGTATTTCCGAAAGCGAACAAACTTAAAATCCGACTCAAATACGGATCTGTATTTCTAAAAGCGAATAAACTTAAAAACCGACTCGCACACCGGATGACGTACCAAAGTGCCAGCGAAAACATCTTCAACTTTTATAATATTAGAGATATTTCTGGAACTTTGAAGGTGCTGATTCCTAAGCTTGAAAGGTGTCGGCTGAAAACTCTGGCACTAGTGGATTTTCAATTAGCACCTAGCTATTACGGTTTGTGCAGTAGTGAGAGTTAGTCACTTAAAGATTATTCCATACTCACTCACCTTTTGGTCCGTCGTGACATCAGTTATCCCAACTAGATGAATACCCGACACGTTGCTGCGAAAAATTAAGTTGCATAATATGTATAAAACTGAAAACAATTTGATATAATTTTGAGTCTAAAAGTAATTGAGATTGCATGTTTTTAAGAGAGAAATAAGAAGAGACAATTTGGTCCATAGATCCATCTTTCAAAGGCTAAAAATAATTGGGGTGATGTGGCTTAATTAGAAAAGAGAGAAATAACATTAACTATACTTAGTGGAGATAAATTATATAAGAATATAATAAACTATATAAGTATATAGGATTTCCGTCCATCCGTCGTGGGCCTCGCGGCCACCTCATCCTGCTCGAGGCGCTCGGCGGGCTCGGCTGGGCCTCTCTTTTATTGTGCCCCCATGCACGCCCACGGCCCGATCCCAGTCTGCGCCCGCGTGTGCTTCAGCTTCCAGCCGAGCGCAAACTCCTTGCGCGCCGGCCGCCGTCGTGCCATTCTCCCTCGCATCGAACAGCAGCGCCGTGCGCGATGAAGTCCAGCGCGGTGGCAAGCGCGACACGTCGACATGGGCACCGCGTGGTCCGCCGCCGATGATGTTCATGTATACTAGTACTCCATAGAAAGTCGTTTAGGACAATGTTTAAGTCAAACATTGAAAATATAAATCATGAATAACTCTCAAGTAGTTGAGTTTAAAAATGTAAAAATTATATGTATAGATTTGTCTTGAAAAATACTTTCATAAAAGCATACATATATCACTTTTCAATAAATATTTTTTATAAAAATAAGTAGTCAAAGTTGTGTTTTGAAGACCGTGTCGCTATCCTAAACGACTTCCTTTAAGAGTATGGAGTACACATGTGCATGCATATGTGCATGCATGCGCAGAGAGAGCTAGCTAGCTGGTAGGAGGAAATAATACACAGCATCCCTATCGATCCTGAGGGCAGTCGGCCGGTGATGATGTTGTCCATCACAACTTCGAGGAGATCTACATCGAATTGTGAGTGTGTTGGAAATTGAACATAAGATTTCAGAATTAAAATATTACATCCCTACCACTATAATATCAAGTGCTTCTCTACATCTAATTTGAAAATTAATGTCGAGTCCTGTGAGACCGTGACACCATCGTAAGACCGGCATTGTTATACACACATCAATATATATAATGCATATTAATTTTCAGACTTCAGACACAAAAATCAGCTTTGCCTTCTCATTCTTCTAGCACATATCAAAATTCAGATTCTATTGGCATATGAGGAAGAGGTCAAAGGGCATCCTGGAGCTCCATCATTTCACTTATTTGTGAAATAAGCCAAAAGACATATTTACAAACAAAAAGTAACTTGTGAATAAAATTTTTATATACGTGTTCTTAGTAATCTAAAAGCTAAGCTAAAAAATAAACTTCAAATTTAAGGTTGAAAATTCAAATTTTGGCTGATAAACACCAGCATAAGCAAAAAGATGAGGCCCCTGGTGAAGTGTGCCGATGCTCCGAGGAGGGGTGCTGGCTCCAGTCATGGTCTCATGGATGAGCTTGATATTCTTGATGCCAAACTCCTTCAAGCTTGTACAGCTCAGCATTGACTGCAATCTTCTTCAGTTGTTGCCTTTCCATATGGAACCTACAGCTATAGATGGTCAAATGGGCCACCTGGCCAGCACGACCCAGGCATGACCGGCCCTGGGCCGAGGCTAGTCGGGCCGGCACAACCCGACCAACAAGCCAGGCCAAGCCAGCCCACGGGCTACACCCTCGGCCCAGGCACGTCCCAATAAGACTCGGGTCGGGCCTGCCCACGGGCTGCACCCCCAGCCTAGGCACGGCTCAATAAGACTCGGGCCCAGCCCGAAGGCACAGTGGTCCATCGTGCTTCTCTATTAAATAAGTCTATTTTTCCTCCCTTATCTCTTTGGGCTATGTCTTATATGGCTAGAATAAGTCTATTTTGCCTCCCTCATCTCTTTGGCTGTGTCTTATATGGCTGGAATAAGTCTATTTTCTACACCTCTTTTCTTTGGGCTGTACCTCAAATGGCTGAGTTAAGTCTATGATGGATCCCTCAATTATTTTGTTTGGTCGTGCTGGGCCATGCTGGCCCACCATGCCGAGGGAGCACGTTAGGCCGGGCCAGCACGAGCACGACCAGTCGGGCAATGCCGTGCTTAGGCTGGGCCAAATTGCCGTGCATTGGGCCGGACTGTCGGGCCTCGGATCATATGGTCATCTATACCTGCAGCTTACATGCATACAAGGTGGCCTTCTTAATTCTCCACGAATAACTATATTTGATTGGGTAATAAAAAATAAACAGTTTAGAATAAGTAATCTGGCATACCTATATGAAGAATATGTTTTCTTAAGGTATTCAGCTTATCATAATAATTAAGCCCTAATCATTTGATAAATTTATTTAATTTTAGGTTTTCTTGTTGCAGCGCACAAGCACTTTTGCTAGTTATAATTATATTTAGAGAATCGAAATGCTTCACCCAGGGTTGCAACATACACGGACAAGACTATTACTTCTGAAGGTTTAACATTTACTCTCTTCTCTTGTTTCGGTTTGAATGAGTTTTGATTTTGATATTGGAAACTTCCTATTCAGATTTAAAAGATCTCTATTGGGGATTGAAATGTTTTGATGACTAAAAACTTCTTATTTAGGTTAGGCCGGGCCAGCACGAGCACGACCCCAGTCGGGCAATGCCGTGCTTAGGCTGGGCCAAATTGCCGTGCATTGGGCCGGACTGTCGGGCCTCGGATCATATGGTCATCTACACCTACAGTTTACATGCATACAAGGTGGCCTTCTTAATTCTCCACGAATAACTATATTTGATTGGGTAATAAAAAATAAACAGTTTTGAATAAGTAATCTGGCGTACCTATATGAAGAATATGTTTTCTTAAGGTATTCAGCTTATCATAATAATTAAGCCCTAATCATTTGATAAATTTATTTAATTTTAGTTTTTCTTGTTGCAGCGCACAAGCACTTTTGCTAGTTATAATTATATTTAGAGAATTGAAATGCTTCACCCAGGGTTGCAACATACACGGACAAGACTATTACTTCTGAAGGATTAACATTTACTCTCTTCTCTTGTTTCGGTTTGAATGAGTTTTGATTTTGATATTGGAAACTTCCTATTTAGATTTAAAAGATCTCTCTTGGGGATTGAAATGTTTTTATGACTAAAAACTTCCTATTTAGATTCTCAATTTTAAGTATCTTCTACATGGAATTTTAATTTCGTAGATTTCACTAAGATTCTCGCAAGTATATACGATGGTAGGTGGGTTGGTACTAGTACTTGTTAGTGGTAGTAAAAACTTCCAATAGGTTATCCTCGCTGACTTGGTTATCACGTCGTGTAGTCGCATATGTGTGTGTATATATATGTAGCCTGTTCGCACATCATCTTTTGTACTCTTTCACAACATATATATACAATGATATCTAGTTTACTCAATGTGTTATAGAAAAATTAACGTTGGTATCCATTGTCAAGTTTAATTCCAACACACACTAAGCACGTATCACATAGACGTCGTGCGTTCTTATCTAGCTCTGACTAAAAATAATCACACACTAATTAATGCCGTACAGAATGCTACGTACAGTCAACTTAATATTTCTTCACCATGAATCGGTCCATGTGATAACGTCAACGGGATCGACTAAAAGGCTCCCCTGTACTTGATCGTACCTTGGATCACAAGCCATTTTCCGCCTATAAATAGGCCAAGTTCACGCTTGCCATCTACTACACAAAACACACGCATCATCGTAAGTGAGATCGAGGGAGCTAATTAATCAACTAGCTAGCTTGCACAAATTAATGGCGTCCAACAAGGCTTTCGTTGTGTTCACTCTCCTGATGCTGGTGGCTGCATCTGCCGTCGTCGACGTCGCCTCTGCCGGTGATGATCACTATCTACACTACATATATACATATGCATTTATAATTCAGTTTAATTATAACATCAAGGAATATATAATTAATCGATCGATACTCATTAATACTTCCCCCATCCTAAAATATAAAGAATTTTAGATAGATGTGTGATACATTCTAGTACAATGAATCTAGATATACTGTATATCCAGATCCATTGTACTAAGATGTGTCACATCCATCCAAAATCTCTTATATTATCATATGGAGGGAGTACGTATATACTTCGTGTTCGATATCAGCTTCTACTTGCATTGCTTAACACCTGCTGATCGATGATGCTTAATTAATTTGATGTTTTTGTTGGTCTTCTTCACGAGCTTGCATAAAATTAACGAATATATATAATATAGGAGTATATCACCATATAAATGAATCAATTTCCCATATATATGTATCCATGCAGACGGCAAGTGCGGGCCTTGCAACTGTAAAGGCTGCTGCGACTATGACGGCAAGTGCATGAGCTACTGCAGCGGCCATAGCGGCCCATGCTGCAAGTGGAAAGGCAAGTGCCACGGCTGCTGCTCATGAGCACGACGAGGCAAGAACCGAACGAATAATGGATTATGACAAATAAAAACGCACACATAAAACCTTACAGATATATGTATCTGCTATACATGCATGATGATGTGCTTGTATAGCTACTTAATTATCCCTATAGCTGTTTGCTTGGTCAATAAAGGATTGCATCTGCTGTGTGTATACTGTGTACACACGGCTAGCTAGTATGTATGTATGTATATGCTCTTATACAAGGGCTATACGTACGCAACAATCCGTGCCTTTGGTGTCGTCAGTCGTAGTGTCGTGTCAGGTATTGTAGTATTGTAATTTGTGCTGATCTATGAATAAAATGCGTTATAATAACGCTTCTATAGATGTATTTGTCTGCCATATACTCCCTCCGTATTTTAATGTATGACGCCGTTGATTTTTTGACCAACGTTTGACCATTTGTTTTATTCAATTTTTTTATGCAAATATGATAATACTTATATCATGCTTAAAGAACATTGGATGACGAATCAAGTCATAATAAAATAAATGATACTTACATAATTTTTTTAATAAGACGAATGGTCAAACGTTGGATAAAAAGTTAACGGTGTCATATATTAAAATATGGAGGTAGTACTTATTATGACTCCTTCAGAGAGTGCTAGCTACCAAATGAATATCAGGGGCAGATCCAAGGTCTCGCGACGACCTCATCAGCAGGGGTAGCCACCCTTCCGGCTCATTGGTAGCTAGATTACTTATGATATAACGCCTTGTATTTTGGGTGTGCAACGACGATGACATAGAATAATTTACACATGTGTTTACCAGGCCTGGGCTATGGAAAATTTTTGAATCCATATACCAGACCACCACAGCTTATGATCAACCGTAAGACTTGTTGAATCAAGCTAAAACTACCCATTTTGTCATTCGTCACTTGTATTTTAAGGACTCGCTACGCCTTATATCATTGCCTAACCATCTCGTAAACCAACCCATCCGTCACTCGAAAGCGTGATCTTAGAATAGATCATCCCCTAAGTTAATACCCATTTAAATTTATCAAGTTATTACAACAAAACTATGCAATTTTCAATTTATTATTATTGTGAATTGTATCTAGTCGTGAAGATGTTGTGCCCTACAATTTACTTTAGAAAAGCGATAAGTACAAGAAACTCTTTTTTTTAGAATTACGAGAAATAGTTAAATGCAAATGACAATATATGTATGCACACATCAAATATTATTCCTTCCAATCATTAATAATATTTGATGTTTAGTATAAGATTCGGTCAAACTTTTGAAACCATGATTATCAACAACTCATCAATAGTACTTAGTGAAAAGAAGGGTATGCATAGATTTTTCTTGGAAAGTACTATCATAATATAATAATATCATAATTCAAATGATAGGGGAGGGGAGTTGTGAATCGTATGCCAAATATATTCCATATAAAGTATAGGATTAGCATCTATGGAAACATAAACTAAAAAAATATACTCCCGTCGTTTCACCAAGATTTTGTTGTTCTAATTATAACATTCAATTTATCCCAATGCAAATGCATTGGAAAACTTAGTTATTCTAATGTAAAGTCGAAGGTAAAAATTTAAAGATCTTATCCTAAACATCAATGTTTATGACCAGAGGGAGTAAATTACAACCATAAAAGTCTACTATATATGCTCGCAAGAATTCGATTATTGGAAAGTGATGAGAATGTCACTATAAAAAATGATTTTTCATGGTGGCCAAAATAGGTTTTCACAAGCAGCAGGTGACACCGCCAGAGACCAAAGGCCAGTGATAATACAGCATTTTAGCTAGCATTTGCCAACTGCCAGTGCCGATCCATTTTCACTAGCGCTCTTTGCAAGGTAGCCACATGTAGAAATGAATTTACACGGGAGGCTACGTTATATCATCCGCCTGTAATAATACTAGCCAGCGCTAAAAAAATGATGAAGCAACCCCACTCCGTTCACCTCCGTCAGCACCAAAAGAGAATATGCTGCTCGATCCCAAAATCGATAGAAATTATTCCCAAATCCCAAAGTTAACAAATCCATAAATCATCACAATTTACAGTAACAAATTTCTACTCACAGGTATTCAATTGGATCAATCCCCATCTCCAAACAAACTAACCGGATTGGATCGTCGTCACCCCCGGTCGTCGTCGCCATCACCGAGAGATGAAGACCTAGCACGGGCCGAGCACCACTGCCGCCCGAAGGATCCGAAGCTCCCCAAATCCGCCACCCATGCCTAAGCTATGCTGTCGAATGCATCACCCAAGCCCCAAGTCATCACCATATCCATTGCTCGCCTCTCACGACCGAGCTCCACCGCATCTGGCGACCCCACCACCTCGAGCTTCCAGATTCACCGCCTGCCGGATCTGGGAGAGGGGAGGTGGTGGAGGAGCCACCGGGACGTTCTCGAGGCCTAGCCATCATCATCGTGGTAGTCAATGCCGCTGGATCCACCTCCTCCACCATGACCGCCCCTCTCGTTTGCTGTCGAGGAGGTGGATCTAGCGGTCCCAAGCACCACTCGCCGCCGGATCCATCCCGTCTACCATCACTGCCATTGCCTGCCTCTCGGCCGCGGATCCACCGCCCATGCTCCTCCCGTGGTTGAGTCCACCATCTGTGACTCTCAGCAGCTAGGCCCGCCGTCCGCGCGTGCCCCTCGATCGAGTCGTCGTCGCTGTCAAGAGGAGGAGGAGGAGAAGGAAAGGATAGGGGCACGAGGGTTGGGGAGGGGGTGAGCTTGGGGAAGGAGCTAGGAGGTGAAGTCTGAGGAGGAGGTGAGATTGGGTGATTTTAAATATAGCTATTATTTTTTGGCAGTCAGTGCTCCTTAGCCGCCGCCAGTGAAAATCCAATTTTTGCTGGGTGTCAGTTAAGAGATCCGCTTAGGAAAATAGAGGTATTTTTGCAAGCTGATCTCTCTTAAGTGACAGCCAGCGAAAATGGTGATCAGAATTCCTCTCAAGTATCTTTACAAGCGTGGGTTCATTAAACTCGCCAATAAAAATAAAAGGTGTTACTATGAAAAATGGTTTTTTAGTAGTGTGTTTTTATATAGACTGAAATAATGATGAAATTAACACCAAGTAGGACTGAAGAAGCATGATAATTGATATAGTAAAATAATATATAGTGAGAATATGTTAATTTCTCTGAATTTCTCAAGAGCAAGACAAAAGTACATACGTTTACAGTTTAACTTCTAGGCCACTCAATCTAGGACTGTTTCTTTCCTCCTAAAGAATGGAAAAGCTTCAGTACCACTCAATCTAGAAAAGTTTCTAGTCTAAATTTCTAGCAAGACAAAACTGTATTACGTTTACTGTTTGTCTTCTATGCCGGTTCAATCTAGGACTGTTTCTTTCCTTCTAAATTAAAGGATAGAAAAGCTTCAGTACTCACTGCAATCTAGAAAAGCCTTCTACTTTAGTTAATTTGTCTAAATTTCTTGAGAGCGAGACAAAAGTATATACGTTTACTGTTTGTCTTCTACGCCAGCTCAACATAGGACTGTTTCTTTCCTCCTAAAGATAGAAAAGCTTCACCTGTCGTGATTAGCGGTGAAAATGGGACGGGTATTTCCCGACCGCCCGCCCAACCCAAGGCTCGCGAGTGGAATATGGGAGAAAAAATGGGATACCCGATACTATCCGAGTTCGAATCCGAATTCGTTAGAAAAATATGGGTTAGGATACGGGAAGACATGTATCCGCCCGGATGTCCCGTATTATAAAATATGTATGAAAATTTATTACAAATTCACTTAAAAACATGATAAAAGATTAGTTAATCACTATTTTACATGCTCATTTGTAAATTGTATAATTTTTTTCTTGATGTATGTCTTTTAGTACTTCAATTAACTTATTATATTTAATATCTATGAATTAGAGATACAAATAGATATCCGTTCTCGAATCCGACTCGAAGGAAATAACATGGGATAGGATACGGGATGAGTGATATATTATTCGGCACTACCCGTACCCAACTCTGAATTTAATATGGGTTAGGATATGGGAATGTTATAGTCCGACCGTACCCGCCCGTTTTCACCCCTAGTCGTGTTGCAAACATCTATGGATGAGATTAATTACTTCTGAATGATTAATTAACGTACTGGCAGAATCGCTCGTTAATGTGTTTTTGTCATGAACGAGGGAGAGAAAGATCGCTTTTTTGAAAAAAAAAAAGAAAAGATTCAATTCAGGTGGGCCCTACCCCCGGTGTTTCTCTAAAAAAAAAGAAAGAAAGAAAAAACAAAAGCTTTACATGACTCGTATATATAGATAGAACAGGAATTCAACATCACTTTAGAGTTCCAAACTTTTTTTCTCAAACTTTCAGCTTTTTTATCACATTAAAACTTTTCTACACACACAAACTTCTAACTTTTCCATCACATCATTCCAAATTCAACCAAACTTATAGTTTTGACGTGCCCTTAACTGTGTACAGGACCTTGCAAAGGCAAAAGAAAGAACTTCACGTACGGAACTTCTCCCGTAGCGGTAAATGCAGATAAATAGCTGACTTTTTGGCCAGACTAGTTGGGAGAACCTGCAGTATACAAATTGGTAAATTGTCGTTTCCTGTGTCGTGTAGCATAGCGGACAGATCTACTGATTTGCCCAACCTCTTCTCTAAAGTCTATCAGTTGTCCAGACTCTATTTTACAGAACCAATCATGTAAATAATTTGTATTTTGATCACACCCGACACTTCTATATTGTTTCATCAAAGATTGTTTTTGCCACTCTCAAGGATATTGGAGTTGTAAAAGCTGACTTTGCCGTTTATTCCTCACTCAGGATGAACTTCGCAAGGGACATAAGATTAATTGTTTTTTTACATGAGACGATATACATGGCATGTCAACGAGATGACCGAGAGATGCATATATATGTTGTACGGAGATCGAGTCTATTGCTGAGATATACGTCGGATGTGGCCACACCGCCTAATAATATCCTAATTTTGTTTGAAGCTTTGATGGAGCATTCACACAGAATATTCTAATTAATTATTGGTCACTTTACACAGTTACAGTACTCTTGACTTTAATTTGATTTTACAACTGCTAAGGCCATTGAACATATATATATTCATGCATACGGAGGCAACAAACTGAAAGTCTGAAATATAAAATTAGTACACTCGCTCTCACAAGTGGTTTAATTTGTTCAGTGATTTTTTTAGATAGAGGGGCAAACTCGAGGGGGAAGCTAGCTAGTGCGTGCGCGCCAGCGACACGCACTTCCGCGCGTAACTAACTTCATTAGTTAACGCTAATGACAGTAATTAGAAAAAAATATGAAGATTTTTTTTTTGAGAT